ACATTCTCCACTTTACAAAAATGAAACCGTGGTTTCAACCGTTAGCCTGATGGTTTCCTCTACTGCTTCCGAACTATCACTCAACAGGTCCCCAAGGAGCCTCCTTCCCCAAGAGACTTTCTATAACTCTTTTCTGTAAGCTCTGAGGAACACTTATCTCCCTTTCTTCCTTTTTCAGTTTCAGACCAAGCTTGATACATTTGAAACAGTTCCTCTTTCTTGCTTCACTGCCTGCCCTCTTTGTTCATTCATAACTAGGGTTGGAGATGAAAAAAAAGATGCAGAAAAAAAATACTTGCATAGAATGCTGAGGAAAGGAAGGGAAGGGGAAGGGAAGGGAAGGGAGAAGGGAGGGAGGAGGAGGAGGAGAGAGAGAGAGAGAGAGAGAGAGAGAGAGAAAGGGGAGGATGAGGATGAGGGGGGAAGGTAGGGGAAGGAGGGAGGAGAAAGAGAGAGAGAGAAAGAAAGAGGAGGATGAGGAGGGAGAGAGGGAGGGAGGAAGAAAGAGAAAGAAAGAAGAAAGAAAGAAGAAAGAAAGAAAAAAGAAAGAAAGAAAGAAAGAAAGAAAGAAAGAAAGAAAGAAAGAAAGAAAGAAAGGGATAAGGAGAAGGGAAAGAAAAGAAAGAAAAGAAAGGGAGGGGAGGGGAGGGGAGGGAAGTGAAGGAAGAGGGAGGAAGAAAGAGAGAGACAAGGAAAGAAAGAAGAAAGAAAGAAAGGAAGGAAGGAAGGAAGGAAGGAAGGAAGGAAGGAAGAGGAGGAGGAAGGGAGGGAAGGGAAGGGAAGGAATGAGGGAGGGAGGAAGAAAGAGAGAGAGAGAGACAAGAAAGAAAGAAAGAAAGAAAGAAAGAAAGAAAGAAAGAAAGAAAGAAAGAAAGAAAGAAAAAGAAAGAAGAGGATGAGTAGGGAAGGGAAAGTCTGCCAATCCTATTTTCTACGAGGAGGAAGAGATACTGTTGTCCTGCTTCTGAAAACAACCACAAAATGGTTATCAGGTATCAATTATGCAGAGTGTTAGAAACACTAGACACTAGTTATCTGCCAGCTCTTACATTCCCCAGATGCTCAAATGATGCATCCAGTTGCACTTTCAAAATATGACTTTCCTCCTTGCAAAAAGCAACCTTCAAGTCTTTCTTAAGGATTTTTTTTAAAAAATGTGATTTGGGATATTTTTAAGCGTGTCTTCGATGAAGGTGGAAGCCACTCTAGAAGGTCAAAGCGGCCTGTGTCTCTTTTATCCTGAGGGCCATGTAAATTCCATGACAGCTTCCTGTTCAAAGAATTCATATTATCCTGCTCTTCTGATGCCCACAACATCTCAAAGGTTGAGTGCTTGTCTAAGTGTTTCCTCATCGGCAAGAATCGCACAACTTTTGACAAAGCAAAAATGACACTCTGGCTGAACCTCATGTCCTTATTATTTGTCCTCAAAGGTATCATTTTCCTCTTCAAAGAGGGAGGCTATTCTTCAGTTTCTTGTGTTACCTGAAGGAGGTCTTATTAAGCAAACTTTCTTTCCAGGTGTCCAATGTGGGGTCCAGTTAGTGGAATCTGGTGGGGATGTGAGAAGACTTGGAGAGTCCCTCCGTCTCTCCTGCCAAGCATCTGGATTTAGCTTTGGTGGCTCCCACATGGGCTGGGTGAGACAGGCTCCTCAGAAAGGACTGGAATGGGTTGCATTCATATACAGAGATTCCAGTGGAATATTCTACTCAGAGAAAGTGAAGGGCCGCTTCACCATCTCCAGGGACAATGCCAAAAGCCAGCTGTATCTACAAATGAACAGCCTCAAACTAGAAGACACTTGGACTGCAAGGCGATCAAACTGGTCAGTCCTAAGTGTTGTGGTCCGCCAGCAGCCTGCAGAGCTGGCAGCGGAGTTGGACAGTAAGGAGGCTGGGGAGGAACATGGGCCAGTCCTGGAGTCTGGGGAACAAGGGCTCTGAGTCAGAGGCAGAGATGGGGTCAGGGCCATCTGGGAGTGATGCACGGACTCTGGAGCCTCCAGAGTCGGGCAGCAGAGAGGCAGAGGAACAGGAGGAGCCTATTCCTAGTGCGCACATGTGCAGAGCTGCCAGAAGGCACAAACAGTTAAAACAAAAGGGACTACTCGGGGGTAAGGCCTGGAGATGATTGGCCCCTCCCATAAGGCTTAAAAGAGGAACAGAGGCACATGGGCACTTTGCAGGAAAGCAACATTGTTATTCCTGTTTCCAGTCGGCATCTCTGTTTGATTCTGGAATCTGTGTGGCTTTGCCAAGTAGGTCTTTGGCAGAGTGTCAAGGGAGATAAAAGGTTGGTGATTATCCCGAAGGACTTTTTGCAACTAATTGGGACTCAGCTGTGAATGAACATACTGTAATTCACAGCTGTTGCAATAAAAGAGGACGACAGAGAACGGGGTGGCTGGATGGAGTCACTGAAGCAGTAAGTGTGAGCTTAAATGGACTCCAGAAGATGGTAGAGGACAGGAAGGCCTGGAGGAACGTTGTCCATGGGGCCATGATGGGTCGGACATGACTTCTTAACTAACAACAACAACAACAAATTATGAGATTCTTGAAAATGTAACCTGATTAAGAAAACAGATTTGAACTAGATTTACCACTTTCAAGTTCTGTCTCTTAACATATCTGTTTCAAAAATGATTATTCCATGATTTATCTGTGCTACTTAGAACCACTTTCCTTAACCTTCAACCAAAAGTACAATAAAGCCCTTTGTCTGCACAATAAATTTAAAAGGAAATATCTCACATATTGTTTCTACCCAATCCATTCTGATCTGGCAAGAGGGACATGCTCTGGGTATCTTTGGCTAGGGAGTATTGGCTGGCAGTGCTAGGTCCAAGTCCAGAGACAGTGAGATCCAATCAAGTCCAAATCTTTATTTGCTTCCACCTAATAGACAGAATCTTGCCAAACTAAAGGTATAACTTTACAAGGTTCAGATTTTACTACATGGATAAAAGGAAGGGATGCTTCACCAACTCCAAAAGCCAATTCTAGTAGCAAATGAACAACTTGAAATCAGACGACACATACTATTATTTAACCGTTTTTGAAAATCACAGGTGTAAAGTCTGTGGAAAGCAATTTATAACTGAATATGCTGAAGGGTCTTTTATCCCAACTGATATGTAAATTGAGGCACAATTTCCCCTTTAAAGGAGCCACATGATATCCCTTTTCAGGTTACACCCACCAACAGAAAGTTTGAGCACTTTCCCATATCCTGTCCTATCAATTCGTTCCATTCATTAGAAGGAGCAAAAATGATCCTGTGGCTAAACTTGGTTTCCTTTCTAGCAATCCTCAGAGGTAATTCTTTCCTACCTATTCGGTTTCATTTCATTTCAATTGTTGTATGCAAGAAAAGTCACTGAATTGCCTTTTATTTTAGGTGTTAAATCTGAGATCCAGTTGGTGGAGTCTGGAGGAGAGGTGAAAAGACCTGGACAGTCCCTTCATCTCACCTGCCAAGCTTCTGGCTTCACCTTCAGCAGCTATTACATGGGCTGGGTGAGACAGTCTCCTGGGGAAGGACTGGAATGGGTGGCATACATAGGGACCGGTTCCAGTCCCATTTACTACTCAGACAAAGTGAAGGGCCGCTTCATCATCTTCAGGGACGATGCCAAAAGCCAGCTGTATCTGCAAGTGAACGATCTCAAACCAGAGGACACGGCAGTCTATTACTGTGCAAGAGACACACAGTGAGAGGAAGTGAAGCTGAAGCTTGGCAAAAACCTGTCATTCATCAGAGCAGCTCTGCAGTCTCAGAAAACTGCAATTTTCTATAAGAGGATTATGGGAAGACTGACTGATTGCCAAAAGGAGAAAGAGCTGATATTGCTATCAGCACCTCTTTCTCAATTGGAGAGGAGGAAACCAAAAAATCTGAGGAAAGAAAATAAACTGTAGTGGTGGGGGGGCTATATAAATTTTCCTTTTTGCTTGAGTTTTTTTTTCCTTTGGGGTTTTATCATTAGGTGAAAAAATTGATAATTAATTTCTTTCTTACTTTCTTTCTTTCTTTCTTTCTTTCTTTCTTTCTTTCTTTCTTTCTTTCTTTCTACTTCCCTTCCCTCCTCATCTTTCTTTCTTTCTTTCTTTCTTTCTTTCTTTCTTTCTTTCTTTCTTTCTTTCTTTCTTCCTTTTTTTCTTTTCTTTTCTTTTCTTTCTTTCTTTCTGCCTTCCTTCCTTCTTTCTTTCCTTCCTTCCTTCTTTCCTTCTTTCTTTCCTTCCTTCCTTCCTTCCTTCTTTCCTTCCTCCTTTCCTTTCCTTTTTACCTTTCCCCCCTTGTTTTCCTGTTCCTATGGTTTGACCATTATTAACTGACTTGCTATTTTAGAACATATTATGTAAAATTGCAAAATGACCACACAAGGGTCAAAATAACCAAGAAAAAAAAAACAAGACATTGATGAAATCCGTACACTTGCCGAGTTAAAAACCAAGCTAATAAGGAACAGCTCACAGGTTTCCAATGTGATGTTTTGGTTCCAACTTTGAAACGCCAATGTGTTTGTATAATTTTATTTTATTTATTTATTTATTTTATCATATTTGTATACCGCCCTACTCCCGAAGGACTCAGGGTGGTGAACAGCCAAGATAAAATACAAAGACATACAAAAGTTAAAAAACTATTAAAAACAGATTAAATAATTTAGGCTCAAAGAACAAATTTAAGACATTCAATTTATCTAAAAACATTTAAAACCCAATTTAAAAGGGAAAGTTAGGCCAGACCAGCCTGTTGGAATAAAAATGTTTTTAGGGCGCGGCGGAAGATGCGTAAGTCTTGGATCCTCCGTATCTCCGGGGGAGATACGTTCCAGATGGCAGGTGCCCCCACAGAGGCTCTCCCCCTGGGGGCCGCCAGTCGACATTGTTTGGCCGACGGCACCCTGAGGAGCCCTCTCTATGGGAGCGAACTGGTTGGTGAGAGGCTACTAGAGGCAGAAGGCGGTCTCATAAGTACCCTGGTCCTGAGCCATGGAGCGCTTTAAAGGTGGTAAGTTTGTGACATCCAATCAAGTCCCATTTTTTATTTGCTTCCACCTAATAGATGGAATCTTGCCAGACGAAAGCTATATCTGTCCAAGATTATGATTTCACTACATGGATAAAGGAAAGGGATGCTTCACCACCTCCAAACATCAATTCTATTAGCAAACAAACAACTTGAAACCAGAGGACCCGGTAAATTATTTAACAGTTTTTGAAAATCACCTGAATAAAGTCTGTGCAAAGAAATGATCTGCTGGGTTCTTTTAGTCCAAGAGATATGTAAATTGAGGTGCAATTTTCCCTTTAAATGGAACATATGGTATCTATTTTCGGGTCACACCCACCAACACAAAGTTTGAGCCCTTTTCCTGATCCTTTCCCGTTGATTTGCTCCATTATTAGAGGGAGGACAAATGATCCTGTGGCTAAATCTGCTGTCCTTTCTAGCAGTCCTCAGAGGTATTTCTTTCCTTCCTGTTCAGTTTCTTTTCCTTTTAATTCTTGTATACAGGAGAGCTCACTGGAATTCTTTTTATTTAAGGGGTCCGATCGCAGGCGAAGTTGGTGGAGTCCGGAGGGGATGTAAGGAGACCTGGAGAGTCCCTCCGTCTCTCCTGCCAAGCCTCCGGCATCAGCTTTGGTGGCTCTTCCATGAACTGGGTGCGACAGGTTCCTGGGAAAGGAATGAAATGGGTGGCATACATAAATTCCCCTTCCAGTGCTATTCACTACTCAGACAAAGTGAAGGGGCGATTCACCATCTCCAGGGACAATCCCAAAAGCCAGCTCTATTTGCAAATGAACAGCCTCAAACCAGAGGACATGGCAGTCTATTACTGTACAGGATACACAGTGAGAGGAAGTGAGTCTGAAACTTGTCGATCCCCAGCCATTCATGAGAGCAGCTCTGCAAGTCCGTTCAGCCTCAGAATAGGGCTGCATTTTTTCAATGAGAGGAGCCTGAGGAAGCTGCCTGGTTGCCAGAAGGAAGAAAGAGCTGATCTTAATGTTAGCTGTTTGCAGGGATGGTATTTACTTACCTTCGCTACCGGTTTGCAAATGTGAATGTGCTCATAGGTTCTGCTCTCAAAATAACCAGTTCTTTCTTTCTTTCTTTCTTTCTTTCTTTCTTTCTTTCTTTCTTTCTTTCTTTCTTTCTTTCTTTCTTTCTTTCCTTCCTTTCTTTCTCTCTCTCTCTCTCTCTCTCTCTCTCTCTCTCTCTCTCTCCACATGCAGAGAGAGAGGGGGGGAGACAAAGTGAGCGGGAGTGGGAGCGGGAGAGAGAGAGAGGGAGGGAGGAGAGGGAGAGAGAGCTGATCTTAATATTAGCTGTTTGCAGGGATGGTATTTACTTACCTTCGCTACCGGTTTGCAAATGTGAATGTGCTCATAGGTTCTGCTCTCAAAATAACCAGTTCTTTCTTTCTTTCTTTCTTTCTTTCTTTCTTTCTTTCTTTCTTTCTTTCTTTCTTTCCTTCCTTCCTTCCTTCCTTCCTTCCTTCCTTCCTTCCTTTCTTTCTCTCTCTCTCTCTCTCTCTCTCTCTCTCTCTCTCTCTCTCTCTCTCTCCACATGCAGAGAGAGAGGGGGAGGGAGACAAAGTGAGCGGGAGCGGGAGAGAGAGAGAGGGAGGGAGGAGAGGGAGAGAGAGCTGATCTTAATATTAGCTGTTTGCAGGGATGGTATTCACTTACCTTCGCTACCAGTTTGCAAATGTGAATGTGCTCATAGGTTCTGCTCTCAAAATAACCAGTTCTTTCTTTCTTTCTTTCTTTCTTTCTTTCTTTCTTTCTTTCTTTCTTTCTTTCTTTCTTTCTTTCTTTCTTTCTTTCTTTCTCTCTTTCCTTCCTTCCTTCCTTCCTTCCTTCCTTCCTTCCTTTCTTTCTTTCTTTCTTTCTCTCTCTCTCTCTCTCTCTCTCTCTCTCTCTCTCTCTCCACATGCAGAGAGAGAGGGGGAGGGAGACAAAGTGAGCGGGAGTGGGAGCGGGAGAGAGAGAGAGGGAGGGAGGAGAGGGAGAGAGAGCTGATCTTAATATTAGCTGTTTGCAGGGATGGTATTCACTTACCTTCGCTACCGGTTTGCAAATGTGAGCATGTGGCCTTCCGCGCATGCACTGAGCATAAAAAATGGATGTGATTACATCCGGGTGGGTGGGCGGAGCCTCCTGCAGTGCTACCGGTTTGCCCAAACCAGATAGAACCGGCTAAATACCACCACTGGCTGTTTGGGAGGTGTTATCCAATTGAAGGGGAGGAAATCAGAAAATCTGAGCGAAGGAAATAAACTGAGTAGTCAATAAGAGAGTGACAGAGAGAAAAAAGGAGAACCCCTGAAAGACAGCAATAACAAAGTGCTCATAGGTTCTGCTCTCAAAATAATCTTTAGTGACACAAAATTGTATTCCTTAATTAGCACTCTTCATTCTTTTATTGGGTTGGAAGTTTTATGCTTTTTCTTTCTTTCTTGAGATTCAGATCTTCTGCCTTTTGTCTTTATGTGTATGTACCAGTTCTTTCTTTCTTTCTTTTTTCTTTTTTCTTTTTTCTTTCTTTCTTTCTTTCTTTCTTTCTTTCTTTCTTTCTCTCTCTCTCTCTCTCTCTCTCTCTCTCTCCACATGCAGAGAGAGAGGGTGATGGAGAGGGAACAGGAGAGGGAGAGGGAGAGAGAGAGGGAGAGGGAGAGGGAGAGGGGAGAGTAGGAGGGAGGAAGTGGGAGAGGGAGGGAGGGGGAGGGAGAAGGAGAAGGAGAAAGAGAGGGAGACGAGGAGAGGGGGAGAGAGAGAGAGAGAGAGAGAGAGAGAGAGAGAGAGAGAGAGAGGGAGAGAGAAACATACATTTGAAAGTTTAAATATGTTTAAAATCATACCCGCCTTTATTAGTACAAATGTGGCCATGTGACAAGTCAGGATTCTCTAGATCTATCACTTTTAAATTCTAACATATCCGCAGCAAAAACTTATTATTCCACAATTCCTCTGTGCTACTTAGAACCACTTCACTCAAAATCCTGCCTCTTATAGTTCTCTTATAGAACTGGTTCTAACTACTTAGGATTACTTTCCTTAACCTTAACTCAAAAGACTGTCTGTTATCTAATGTACAGTAAAGCCCTTTCTTTGCACAATAAGTTTAAAAGGAAATCTCTTTTCTTTCTAGTCATCTCATCTAACCTGGCAAAAAGGACATGCTCTGGGTATCTTTGGCTAGGGAAAGTTGACTGGCAGTGCCAGGCCCAAGTCCAAAGATAAGACCGTGACATCCAATCAAGTCCAATTCTTTATTTGCTTCCATCTAATAGACAGAATCTTGCCAAATTAAAGCTTCAACTTTACAAGGTTCAGATTTTACTACATGGTTAAAGGGTGGGGAATGCGTCACCATCTCCAAAAGTTAATTCTGGTATCAAATGAACAATTTGAAATCAGAGGATGCAGCTAATTATTTAACATTTTATGAAAATCACAGGTGTAAAGTCTGTGCAAAGAAATACTCTGTAACCGAATACTCTGAAGAGTTCTTTTATCTCAACTGATATGTAAATCGAGGCACAATTTCCCCTTTAAAGGAGCCTCATGATATCCCTTCTCAGGTTACACCCACCAACACAAAGTTTGAGCTCTTTCCTAGATCCTGTCCTATCAATTCGCTCCATTCATTAGAGGGATCAAAAATGATCCTGTGGCTAAATTTGGTGTCCTTTCTAGCAATCCTCAGAGGTAATTCTTTCCTACCTATTCGGTTTCATTTCATTTCAATTGTTGTATACAGGAGAGCTCACCGAAATTCCTTTCATTTTAGGTGTTAAATCTGAGATCCAGTTGGTGGAGTCTGGAGGGGAAGTGAAAAGACCTGGACAATCCCTTCATCTCACCTGCCAAGCTTCTGGCTTCACCTTCAGCGGCTCTAGCATGGACTGGGTGAGACAGTCTCCTGGGGAAGGACTGGAATGGGTGGCGTACATAAGCTCCGGTTCCAGTAGTATTTACTACTCAGACAAAGTGAAGGGCCGCTTCACCATCTTCAGGGACAATGCCAAAAGCCAGCTGTATCTGCAAGTTAACAATCTCAAACCAGAGGACACGGCAGTCTATTATTGTGCAAGAGACACACAGTGAGAGGAAGTGAAGCCGAAGCTTGGCAAAAACCTACAAGTCATCAGAACAGCCCTATAAGTCCATGAGCCCACGGTGGCACAGTGATTAGAGTGCAGTGGTGCAGGATATTTCTGCTGACTGCAATTTGGCAGTTCAAATCTCACCAGGCTCAAAGTTGACTCATCCTTCCATCCTTCTGAGGTGGGTAAAATGAGGACCCAGATTGTTGGGGGCAATATGCTGATTCTTTAAACCATTTAGAGAGGACTGTACAGCACTGTAAAGTGGTATATAAGCCAAAGTGCTGTTGCTATTCAGTCTCAGAATAGGGCTGCACTTTTCACTGAGAGGATGTTGAGAAAGCTGCCTTTTTGACAAGAGGAGAAAGGGCTGATTTTGGTATCAGCAATGTGGGAGCTGTTTTCCAATTGGAGAGGAGGAAAACCTGACCAGAAATAAACTGAGGAGGGAGGGGAGAGAGAGAGAGAGAGGGGGGGGGGGAGGGAGAGAGAGTTCTAACAGACAACAATGGCAAAAAGTTCTGCTCTCAAAAAATTCTTTAGCGATACAAAATTGTCCTTAATTTGTACTCTTCATTCTTTTATTCAGTCATGCCTGCTACCTGCAATTTGGCAGTCCGAATCTCATCAGGCTCCAATTGGAGAGGAGGAAAACCTGACCAGAGAATAAACTGAGGAGGGAGGGAGGGAGGGAGGGAGAAAGAGAGAGAGAGAGAGAGAGAGAGAGAGATGGCAAAAATTTCTGCTCTCAAAAAAAATCTTTAATGATACAAAATTGTATTCTTTAATTTGCACGCTTCATTCTTTTATTCAGTCATGGAAAAGTGAGATGGATGAGTGGTGCTGTGGCCTAGTGGTGGAGCTCTCGCCTCACAATCAGGTGGATGTGAGTTTCATCCTAGGTAGAGGCAGATATTTCTCTCTCTGGGCACACTGAGAATACATCCGCTGAATAAAACTCCGCATCGGTGACAGGAAGGGCATCCGGCCAGGAAACACTCAGCTCCATTCAGTTGCCCAGACTCCACCCTGCAAGGGATTATGGGGTCATTAAAAGAAGATGTAAAAGTGAGATGGGCAGCTGCACCAATCAAGCAAATAAGTAAAGATACAAATCAATAGTATAAAGGCTAAAGAAATTTAACATTTTGCTGGAGATTTTATTTTCTTCCTTTCTTTTCTTTCTGTCCTTATGATTTGACCACTGTTAACTGACCTGCTATGATAAAACATATGATGTAAAATTGCAGAGTGACCCCACAAAATCACCAGGGGGGGAAAAAAGCAACCAATTTATCAAATCTGTACAATTGCTGAGTTAAAAACCAAACTAATGAGGAACACCTCACAGGATTCCAACATGATTTTTGCTTCCAACTTGAATGTGTTTGTATAATTCAACGGTGAATTTGAAATTGTGCCTTATGGCCTGCTTTTAACTGTTGATTTAGGTTTCTTCAAAATAAGATGGTCAGGTTAATCATTGTAGAACAAATATTCTGAATTCAGATGTAGCCTCTTTTTAATGTTTGGTCTCTAATATGGCTAACTAAAGAATTTTCATTCCATGATTTCTTTCTCCAACCTAAAAATCTTTTTTTCTTTCTTTTTTTTTTTTTTGGTAATGAGGAGGTCCTTTTGGACCTTGCTTTACTTACTCCAGTGTAAATATGTCTTTTTACCTACGTACTGATAATAAAAAGGGATGTGGTGGCTCAGTGGCTAAGACGCTGAGCTTGTCGATTGAAAAGTCAGTAGTTCAGCGGTTCGAATCCCTAGTGTCGTGTAATGAGGTGAGCTCCCATTACTTGTCCCAGCTTCTGCCAATCTAGCAGTTCGAAAGCATGCAAAAAATGCAAGTAGGAACAATAGGGACCACCTTTGGTGGGACGGTAACAGCGTTCCATGCGCCTTTGGCATTGAGTCGTGCCAGCCACATGACCACAGAGACATCTTCGGGTAGCACTGGCTCTTTGGCTTTGAAACGGAGATGAGCACCGCCCACTAGAGTCAGGAACGACTAGCACATATTATTTATTTATTTATTAGTTTGATTTATATGCCGCCCTTCTCCGAAGACTCAGGGCAGCTTACAATACATTAAGCAATAGCCTTCATACTTTTGTATATACCTGCTTAGTAGGGCTTTCGGGGGGCCCTACGCGGTGTTCTTTTTATACAAAGTCAGTTTATTGTCCCCACAATCCAGGTCCTCATTTTACCTACCTCGAAAGGGTGGAAGGCTGAGTCAGCCTTGAGCCTGGTGAGATTTGAACTTGCAGTAATTGCAGGCACCTGGCAACTAAGTGCTACTTTAACAGCACTTTAGTCCACTGCACCACCAGGCTTGTACTTTGCACCACCAGGCTCATACATATGTGCAAGAGGAACCTTTACCTTCATCTTACTGATAAAAAAAAAAACACACCTAATAATCTGGATTGTTCCTAAAACTGAACCTCATTTGAAAACCACAGCTGAAATCTATGTACAAAGAAACACAGTATATAAGTAATTGCAGTGAGGAGGCTCTTTTATCCCTAGTGATATGTAAATTGAGGTGCAATTTCCCCCTTAAAAGATGCAGTTGGTTTTGCTTTCCAGGCTACACGCATCAACACGAAGTTTGTGCACTTCCCCAAATCAATTCCCCTCCAATCTTTAGAGAGAGCAAAAATGATCCTCTGGCTAAACATCTTATCCATACTAGCAGTCCTCAGAGGTACAGTAATTGTTTCCTCCCTATTCAGTTTCTTTCCATTTTAATTCTTGTATGCAGGAGAGCTCACTAAAATTCCTATCATTTTAGGTGCCCATTCTCAGGCCCAGTTGGTGGAGTCTGGAGGGGACTTGAGAAGACCAGGAGAATCCCTCAGTCTCTCCTGCCAAGCCTCTGGATTCACCTTCAGCAGCTATGGCATGCACTGGGTGAGACAGGCTCCAGGGAAAGGCCTGGAATGGGTTGCACTCATCTATTATGATTCCAGTGAGAAGTTCTACTCAGACAAAGTGAAGGGACGCTTCACCATCTCCAGGGACAATGCCAAAAGCCAGCTGTATCTGCAAATGAACAACCTCAAACCAGAGGACACGGCAGTCTATTACTGTGCTGGAAGCACAGTGAGAGGAAGTGAATCTGTAGCAAAGCAAAAACTTCCCATTTCACATAGCAGAGAGAATTTAGAATTCTAACAATGTGGTCCATATCTCCCTTGGTCATCTTGCTCACCAGGGGGCCCTATTCTCACACTGATAGTGGGGCCGAGGAGGGCATGGAAATCGTACTTCTGTGTACAAATAATATCTCATTTCTGAGGTAGAGCTTTTCCATCTCATATGCTTGGAAATTCACTACATTGATCTCAAGGGAATGTCACTTCTCAAGAGAACACAATTTCCTCCATCATGCCATGTTTAGAACAGAATGTGCCTTGGTAACTGTAGCTGTCTGAAATCTTTGCAAAGCAGAAAATGTCATGTTCATTCTTGGAGTACTGAAAAAGTATCTGATACGAAGTTATGATGTGATTGCTTTGACTTTGCAACTTGGTGGGAACCCCCCATTCTCTCCCTTAGAAAATATGATTTATGCCTTAGTCCATATGGTGTTAACATCAGTTTCTTCAAAACCAAAATTGATTAAGGAAACAAAGGATCCTGAACTCAAACATTTAAGTTCTGTCTGTAACATGTCTCTTAAAAAATTCTTAATTCATTATTTTCTCTGCTGCTTAGGAGCACTTTCCTTAGCTTTAATCCCAAACCCCTTATTTGACCTAATGTAATATAAAGCCCTTTCTATTTATACAATATAAATATAAAAAGAAAGAACTTAGTCTTGATTGTTCTCCAATTTTGGCATCATTTCACAATCATCTTTATAAGATATTCAATGAGATTCAGGGACCATTTTGAGATTTGGATGTCTATGTTTAATTCAACTATTGATTTCAAATTGTTACTCATAGTCTGTTCCACATCGTTGTTTTTGGATTTTTTCCAACAGAACATGGTGAAGGACAACATTTTTTGAACAAATGCTCTGAACTTAGATGAACCATCTTTTCATGGTTTATCTCTAACATGGTGTCAGGTTTTGATGTCATCTCAAATAAATTGCACTCCCAAACAATTAATCTTTGCTGAAGTATTCCATTTATTGAGTACGACAGATCTGGCCCCGACTTAGTCGTAGCCGATACTAACCCTCTGACCCCCAAACCCTTCCCTTTCCATTCCCCAATTCTCATCTTCTCATTGGCCATCTTCCAAGTCAGTCTCCTCAGCTTCTGACTTCACCCCATAGGAATGTTCCCCCCACCATCTCATCTCCTAGGGGATATTATCTACAAAGAAATAAGTAGGTGAAAAGTCAAGCCTCGTCTTTTTATGGCAGCATCAGAATGCTGACACATGGCTATTTAAGGAATGTTCAGCCCAATTTTTTTTCCTCTCACCATTGAACCCTTTCTTGAAGTGAGGAGATTGTATTACATCTTGCTTTACTTACTCCAGTGCAAATATGTACTTTTCCCTATGTAAAAGGTAAATGTAAAGGTTCCCCTCACAGATATGTGCTAGTTGTTTCCGGCTCTAGGGGCCAGTGCTCATCTCCCTTTCAAAGCTTAAGAGCCAGCGCTGTCCGAAGGTGTCTCTGTGGTCATGTGGCTAGAGAGCATTACAATAGTCCAGCTGGGAGGTGACAAGGGCGTGAATGACTGTGCGCAAGGCGTCCCGGTCCAGAAAGGGCTGCAACTGGCGAATCAGGCGAACCTGATAAAAGGCCCCCCTGGCCACCGGCATCATATGCTCTTCTAAAGACAGCCGTGCATCCAGGAGGACGCCCAGATTGCGAGACCTCTCTGTGGGGGGCAAAGATTCACCCCCAATAGTCAGCGATGGCACCTGCTGACTATATCGGGCCGCTGGAAGCCACAGCCACTCTGTCTTGGAAGTGTTGAGTCTGAGCCTGTTCCTCCCCATCCAGACCCGCACTGCCTCCAGGCAGCGAGACATCACATCAAAGGCATCGTTGGGGTGGTCTAGGGTGGAGATGTACAGCTGAGTATCATCAGCGTACAGATGACACTTCACCCCAAAACCATGGATGATCTCACCCAGTGGCTTCATATAAATGTTGAACAGAAGGGGTGAGAGGACCGACCCTTGCGGCACTCCCCATGCGAGGTGCCTCGAGGTCGACCTCTGTCCCCCTGCCAACACAAACTGTGAGTGGTCAGAGAGAAAGGAGGAGAACCACCGCAAAACGGTGTCCCCTATTCCTAACCCCCTCAACCGCTGCAGCATGATACCATGGTCGATGGTATCAAAAGCTGCTGAGAGATCTAATAGGACTAGGACAGAGGAGCAACCCCTGTCCCGAGCCCTCCAGAGATCATCCACCAACGCGACCAATGCCATTTCTGTGCTGTACCCCTGCCTGAAGCCCAACTGGCACAGGTCCAGATGGATAGCTTCATCCAGGTGTCGGGGAAGCTGTCGTGCCACCACGCTCTCAACAACCTTCGCCAAAAAACGAAGGCTGGAGACCGGAGGGTAGTTGGCTAATTCAGCCGGGTCCAGGGAAGGCTTCTTGAGGAGGGGCCTCACTACTGCTTCTTTCAAGGTGGCAGGAAAGGCACCCCCATTCAGAGAAGCACTTATAATTCCCTGGAGCCAGCCTCGTGTAACCTCCCGGGAGGCCAGTACCAACCAGGAGGGACACGTGGCGTCACTAATCTGGTCTGTTCTGCATTGTTGTTTTTGGGTTTTTTTCAACAGAACATGATCAAGGACAACAATTTTTGAACAAATGCTCTGAACTCAGATGAACCATCTTTTCATGGTTTATCTCTAACGTGGCTATTTAAGGAATGTTCAGCCCAATTTTTTTTCCCTCTCACCATTGAACGCTTTCTTGAAGTGAGGAGATTGTATTACATCTTGCTTTACTTACTCCAGTGCAAATATGTAGTTTTCCCTATGTAAAAGGTAAATGTAAAGGTTCCCCTCACAGATATTTGCTAGTCGTTCCCGTTCTGGGGGCTGGTGCTCATCTCCATTTCAAAGCTGAAGAGCCAGCGCTGTCCGAAGATGTCTCTGTGGTCATGTGGCTGGCACGAATAAATGCCAAAGGCGCACAGAACGCTGTTACCGTCCCACCAAAGGTGGTCCCTATTTTTCTACTTGCATTTTTTACGTTTTTTCAAACTGCTAGGTTAGCAGAAGCTGAGACAAGTAACGGGAACTCACCCCATTATGTGGCACTAGGGATTTGACTGCTGACTGCTGACCTTTAAAATTGACAAGCTGAGCATCTTAGCCACTGAGCCACCGGATCCCTATGTACCTACAATAAAACCCAAGATAGTCTTGATCTTTTCTCAGATTGGAGCCTCATTTAAATACCATGAAAGAAATCTTTGTGCAAAGAAGTATGTAAGTAAATGCAATAAGGAGACTCTTTTATCCCTAGTGATATGTAAATCAAGACATAATTTCCCTCTTAAATGAGGCAATTGGTTTGCCTTTTAAGATTACACCCACAAACACAAAGTTTGTGCACTTCTCCAAGTCCTTCGCCATCAATTCCCCTCCAATCTTTAGAGAGAGCAAAAATGATCCTCTGCCTAAACATCTTATCCATACTAGCAGTCCTCAGAGGTACAGTAATTGTTTCCTCCCTATTCAGTTTCTTTCCATTTTAATTCTTGTATGCAGGAGAGCTCACTGAAATTCCTTTCATTTTAGGTGCCCGTTCTCAGGCCCAGTTGGTGGAGTCTGGAGGGGACTTGAGAAGACCAGGAGAGTCCCTCCGTCTCTCCTGCCAAGCCTCTGGATTCACATTCAGCCGCTATTCCATGAGCTGGGTGAAACAGTCTCCTGGTAAAGGACTGGAATGGGTGTTGTACACAACCACCAGTTCTGGTACTATTCACTACAATGACAAAGTGAAGGGCCGCTTCACCATCTCCAGGGACAATGCCAAAAGCCAGCTGTATCTGCAAATGAACAGCCTCAAAGCTGATGACACGGCAATTTATTACTGTGCTACATACACAATGAGAGGAAGTGAATCTGTAGCAAAGCAAAAACTTCCCAATTTAAATAGCAGAGAGAATTTAGAATTCTAACAATGTGGTACATGCCTCCCTTGGTCATCTTTCCCACCAGGGGGCACTATTCTCACACTGATGGTGGGGAGGGGGAGGGCATGGAAATCAAACTGCTGTGTACAAATAATATCTCATTTCTGAGGTAGAGCTTTTCCATCTCATATGCTTGGAAATTCGCTACATTGGTTTCAAGGAAATGTCACTTCTCAAGAGACCACAATTTCCTCCATCATGCCATGTTTAGAACAGAATGTGCCTTGGTAAGTGTAGCTGTCTGAAATCTTTGCAAAGCAGAAAATGTCATATTCATTCTTGGGCTATTGAAAGAGTATCCGATACGAAGTTATGATGTGATTGCTTTGATTTTGACTTTGCAACTTGGTGGGAACCACCAATTCTCTACCTTACAAAATGTAAGGTAGAGAATTTATGCCTTAGTTCATATGGCGTTAATATCGGTTTCTTCAAAACAAAAATTGATTAAGGAAACAAAGGATCCTGAACTCAAACATTTAAGTTCTGTCTGTAACATGTCTCTTAAAAAATTCTTAATTCATTATTTTCTCTGCTGCTTAGGAGCACTTTCCTTAGCTTTAACCCCAAACCCTTATTTGACCTAATGTAATGTTTCTATTCTTTCTATTTATACAATATAAATATAAAAAGAAAGACTTAGTCTTGATTGTTCTTCAATTTTGGCATCATTTCACAATCACCTTTATAAGATATTCAATGAGATTCAGGGACCATTTTGAGATTTGGATGTCTATGTGTAATTCAACTATTGATTGCAAATTGTTACTCATGGTATAAGTATAAGTATAATTTTATTTCTATACTCCCTTCTCCCGAAGGACTCAGGGCGGTGTACAGCCTATTTGAAAACACAAGACAAACATCAATTTAAAATTTAAAATTATTAAATAAATTCGGCTCAATTTAAAACCACAGAAAATTTTATATACCCCAATTTAAAATGTTACGTTGATAGCCCGGCCTGGCGGAACAACAGGGTCTTCAATGAGCAGCGAAATACTCAGAGTTCGGAGATCTTACGTATTTCCGGCGGCAGTTCAATCCACAGGGCTGGTGCTCCCACAGAGAAGGCCCTCCCCCTGGGTGTCGCCAGCCGACATAACTTGGCTGATGGCACCCTGAGGAGACCCTCTCTGTGGGAGCGAACTGGCCGGTGGGAGGCTATTGGTGGCAGAAGTCGGTCTCGAAGGTACCCGGGTCCAATGCCATGGAGTGCTTTAAAGGTGGTGACCAACACCTTGAATCGCACCCGGAAGACCACTGGGAGCCCACTGGGAGACTGCAGGTCGCGCAGGAGGGGTGTCACGTGGGCACAATGAGTTGCGCCCATAACCACCTGCACGGCCGCATTCTGGACCAGTTGGAGCCTCCGAGTGCTCTTCATGGGGAGCCCCATGTAGAGAGCATTACAATAGTCCAGCCGGGAGGTGACAAGGGTGTGAGTGACTGTGCGCAAGGCGTCCCGGTCCAGAAAGGGCTGCAACTGGCGAATCAGGCGAACCTGAAAAAAGGCCCCCCTGGCCACCGCCATCATATGCTCTTCTAAAGACAGCCGTGCGTCCAGGAGGACACCCAGATTGCGAGCCCTCTCTGTGGGGGGCAAAGATTCACCCCCAATAGTCAGCGATGGCACCTGCTGACTATATCGGGACGCCGGAAGCCACAGCCACTCGGTCTTGGAAGGGTTGAGTCTGAGCCTGTTCCTCCCCATCCAGACCCGCACTGCCTCCAGGCAGCGAGATATCACATCAAGGGCATCGTTGGGGTGGTCTGGGGTGGAGATGTACAGCTGAGTATCATCAGCGTACAGATGACACTTCACCCCAAAACCACGGATGATCTCACCCAGCGTCTTCACATAAATGTTGAACAGAAGAGGCGAGAGGACCAACCCTTGTGGCACTCCCCATGCGAGATGCCTCGTGGTCGACCTCTGCCCCCCTGCCAACACGAACTGCGAGTGGTCGGAGAGGAAGGAGGAGAACCACCACAAAACGGTGCCCCCTATTCCTAACCCCCTCAACCACTGCAGCATGATACCATGGTCGATGGTATCAAAAGCCACTGAGAGATCTAATAGGACTAGGACAGAGGAGCAACACCTGTCCCGAGCCCTCCAGAGATCATCCACCAACGCGACCAATGCCATTTCTGTGCTGTACCCCTGCCTGAAGCCCAACTGGCACGGGTCCAGATGGATAGCTTCATCCAGGTGTCGGGGAAGCTGTCGTGCCACCACGCTCTCAACAACCTTCGCCACAAAACGAAGGTTGGAGACCGGACAGTAGTTGGCTAATTCAGCCGGGTCCAGGGAAGGCTTCTTGAGGAGGGGCCTCACTACCACCTCTTTCAAGGTGGCAGGAAAGGCACCCCCACTCAGAGAAGCACTTATAATTCCCTGGAGCCAGTCTCGTGTAACCTCCCGGGAGGCCAGTACCAACCAGGAGGGACACGTGGCGTCACTAATCTGGTCTGTTCCGCATTGTTGTTTTTGGGTTTTTTTCAACAGAACATGGTCAAGGACAACAATTTTTGAACAAATGCTCTGAACTCAGATGAACCATCTTTTCATGGTTTATCTCTAATGAGGCTATTTAAGGAATGTTCAGCCTAATTTTTTTTTCCTCTCACCATTGAACACTTTCTTGAAGTGAGGAGATTGTATTACATCTTGCTTTACTTACTCCAGTGCAAATATGTACTTTCCCCTATGTAAAAGGTAAATGTAAAGGTTCCCCTCACAGATATTTGCTAGTCGTTCCCGTTCTGGGGGCCGGTGCTCATCTCCGTTTCAAAGCTGAAGAGCCAGCGCTGTCCGAAGATGTCTCTGTGGTCATGTGGCCAGCATGACTAAATGCCAAAGGTGCACAGAACGCTGTTTCCGTCCCACCAAAGGTGGTCCCTATTTTTCTACTTGCATTTTTATGTGCTTTCAAACTGCTAGGTTAGCAGAAGCTGAGACAAGTACGGGGGCTCACCCCGTTATCTGGCACTAGGGATTTGACTGCTGAACTGCTGACCTTTAAAATTGACAAGCTGAGCATCTTAGCCACTGAGCCACCACATCCCTATGTACCTACAATAAAACCCAAGATAGTCTTGATCTTTTCTCGGATTGGAGCCTCATTTAAATACCATGAAAGAAATCTTTGTGCAAAGAAGTATGTAAGTAAATGCAATAAGGAGACTCATTTATCCCTAGTGATATGTAAATCGAGACATAATTTCCCTCTTAAAGGAGGCAATTGGTTTGCCTTTTAAGATTACACCCACAAACACAAAGTTTGTGCACTTCTCCAAGTCCTTCGCCATCAATTCCCCTCCAATCTTTAGAGAGAGCAAAAATGATCCTCTGCCTAAACATCTTATCCATACTAGCAGTCCTCAGAGGTACAGTAATTGTTTCCTCCCTATTCAGTTTCTTTCCATTTTAATTCTTGTATGCAGGAGAGCTCACTGAAATTCCTTTCATTTTAGGTGCCCATTCTCAGGCCCAGTTGGTGGAGTCTGGAGGGGACTTGAGAAGACCAGGAGAGTCCCTCCATCTCTCCTGCCAAGCCTCTGGATTCACCTTCAGCAACTATGGCATGAACTGGGTGAGACAGGCTCCTGGTAAAGAACTCGAATGGGTTGCCCGCATCTATACTGATTCCAGTGAGAAGTTCTACTCAGACAAAGTGAAGGGACGCTTCACCATCTCCAGGGACAATGCCAAAAGCCAGCTGTATCTGCAAATGAACAGCCTCAAACCAGAGGACACGGCAGTCTATTATTGTGCTGGCAACACAATGAGAGGAAGTGAATCTATAGCAAAGCAAAAACTTCCATTTTAAATAGCAGGGAGAATTTAGAATTCTAACAATGTGGTACATGTCTCCCTTGGTCATCTTGCCCACCAGGGGGCACTATTCTCACACTGATGGTGGGGAGGGGGAGGGCATGGAAATCAAACCGCTGTGTACAAATAATATCTCATTTCTGAGGTAGAGCTTTTCCATCTCATATGCTTGGAAATTCACTATATTGGTCTCAAGGGAATGTTACTTTTCAAGAGACCACAATTTCCTCCATCGTGCCATGTTTAGAACAGAATGTGCCTTGGTAAGTGTAGCTGTCTGAAATCTTTGCAAAGCAGAAAGTGTCATATTCATTCTTGGGCTATTGAAAGAGTATCCGATACGAAGTTATGATGTGATTGCTTTGACTTTGGAACTTAGTGGGAACCACCCATTCTCTCCCTTAGAAAATATGATTTATGCCTTAGTCCATATGGCGTTAACATCGGTTTCTTCAAATCCAAAATTGATTAAGGAAACAAAGGATCCTGAACTCAAACATTTAAGTTCTGTCTCTAACATGTCTGTTAAAAAAAAAAAAAAATCTTAGTTCATTATTTTCTCTGCAGCTTCAGAGCACTTTCCTTAGCCTTAACCCAAAACCCCTTTTTATTTATAATAAATACAAAAAGAAAGACCTTAGTCTTGATTGTTCTTCATTTTTTGCATCATTTCACAATCACCTTTTTAAGGTGTTCAATGAAATTTTGAGGAGATTCAGGGACCATTTTGTGACTTGGATGTCTACGTATAATTCAACTATTGATTTCAAATTTTTACTCATGTTCTGTTGTTTTTTGGTTTTTTTCAACAGAACATGTCAAGGGAACAACTGTGGAACAAATACTCTTAACTCAGATGGACCATCTTTTCATGGTTGATCTCTAACATGGCTATTTAAGGAATGTTCAGCCCAATTTTTTTTCCTCTCACCATTGAACCCTTTCTTGAGGTGAGGAGGTTGGTTTAGATCTTGCTTTACTTACTCCAGTGGAAATATGTCCTTCCCCCTATGTACTCACAAGTAGACACAGGATGGTCTTGAGTGCTCTTCAGACTGGAGCCTCATTTGAAAACCATGAGAGAAATCTTGTGCAAAGAAATATGTAAGTAAATGCAGCAAGGAGGTTCTAGAATAGAATAGAATAGAATAGAATAGAATAGAATAGAGTAGAGTAGAGTAGAGTAGAGTAGAGTAGAGTAGAGTAGAGTAGAGTAGAATAGAATAGAATAGAATAGAATAGAATAGAATAGAATAGAATAGAATAGAATAGAATAGAATTCTTTATTGGCCAAGTGTGATTGGACACACAAGGAATTTGTCTTTGGTGTATATGCTCTCAGTGTGCATAAGGAGAATCAAATACATTCATCAATAATAAAAAGATACAACACTTAGTGATAGCCAAGGTTACTAATAAGCTATCAAATCATATTAGGAAACAAATAAAAACAGTATAAATTGAAAGATACAAGCAACATGATTATAATAATAAGCAGGAAGAGATAGATACTGGTAAGGAAGAGAAGAATAATAGTAATACAGCCTTAGTAAATTATTTGACAGTGTTATGGGAATTATTTGCTTAGCAGAGTGATGGCGTTAGGGAAAAAAACTGTCCTTGTGTCTAGTTGTTCTGCTGTGCAGTACTCTGTAGCATCTTTTTGAGGGTAGGAGTTGAAACAGTTTATGTCCAGGATGCGTGGAGTCTGTAGATATTTTCACAGCCCTCTTTTTGACTAGTGCAGTACACAGCTCCTCAATGGAAGGCAGGTTGGTAGCCATTGTTTTTTCTGCAGTTCTAATTATCCTTTGAAGTCTGTGTCTGTCTTGTTTGGTTGCAGAGCCAAACCAGACAGTTATGGAGGTGCAGATGACAGACACATTATGTCTACTTAATATGGGGATATTTACATATCCCTAGTGATAGGTAAATCAAGGCACAATTTCCCCCTTAAACAAAGCAATTGGTTAACCTTTTAAAGTTACACCCACCAACACAAAGTTAGTGCACTTCTCCAAGTCCTTTGCCATCAATTCCTCTTCAATCTTTAGAGAAGGCAAAAATGATTCTGTGGCTAAAGATGTTGTCTATACTAGCGGTCCTCAGAGGTACTGTGATTCTTTCCCCCCCTATTCAGTTTCTTTTTATTCTTGTACTCAGGAGACCTCACTAAAACTCCTTTCTTTTTAGGTGCCTGTTCCCAGGCCCTGTTGGTGGAGTCTGGAGGAGATGTGAAAAGACCTGGAGAGTCCCTCCGTCTCTCCTGCCAAGCCTCTGGCTTCACCTTCAGTGACTACGGGATGAACTGGTTTAGAAAGGCTCCGGGAAAAGACCTGGAATGGCTTTCACATATCTTTGCTGATTCCCGTGAAAGGTTCTACTCAAACAAAGTGAAGGGACGCTTCACCATCTCCAAGGACAACGCCAAAAGCCAGCTGTATTTTCAAATGAACAACCTCAAACCAGAGGATACGGCAGTCTATTATTGTACGAGACACACAGTGAGAGGAACCAAAGCAAAAACTTCCCATTTACATAACAGGGCTGAGAATTTCTTTGAAACCTTATAATTCTAACCATGTGGGACATGCCTCCCTTGGTCATCTTTCACACCAGGGGACGCTACCCTCACACCAGATTCCAGGCAGGACATGGAAATTAAACCACTCTGTACAAATAATATCTCACTTCCAAGGCAGAGGTTTTCCTATATTTTTGACATAGCAATAGCACTTCGACTTATATACTGCTTCACAGACCTTTTTATTCCATCAAGCGGGCTTGGCCTGATCTCTTCCCTTTTTAAATATGTAAATTTTAATCTGTTTTTAAATTATTGGGGTATTTTAATTTGTCTGGGCCAAATAATTTAATTTGATTTTATCGGGTTTTTAAATTTTGTGTATTTATGTATTTTATTGTTGGCTGTTCACCGCCCTGAGTCCTTCGGGAGTAGGGCGGTATACAAATCAAATAAACTAAACTAAACTAAACAGTGCTTTACATCCCTCTCTAAGCAATTTACAGAGTCAGCATATTTCCCCCAGCTATCTGGCTCCTCATTTTACCCACCTCGGAAGGATGGAAGGCTGAGTCAACCTTGAGCCTGGTGAGATTCGAACTGCCAAATTGCAGGCAGCCGGCAGTCAGCAGAAATAGCCTGCAGTACTGCACTCTAACCACTGCACTACCGTAGCTCAGAAATTCCCCAAATTAATCTCAAAAGAATGTCACAATCTGTTCTTTAAAGCCATGTCTGAGTTCAGAACAGAATGTGCCTTGGTAACTGTAGATGTCTGAAATCTTTGCAAAGCAGGAAATGTCATATTCATTCTTGGATTATTGAGAGAGTTTCCAATATGAAATTATGACGTGATTGCTTTGATTTTGATTTTGCAGCTTTGTGGGAGGCTGAATTCTGTGTCTTTACAAATTGTGCTTTTTAGTTTGCATGTAGTTAATATAGTGGTGGGTTTCAATTTATGTTACTACCGGTTCGCCGTGCATGCACCCGGTTCGTGCGTGTGTCTGCCTTCAGCGCATACACCCGGCCTTCCACGCATGCACCTTGTCCATGTGCCTTCCGTGCATGCGCCCACCCTCCCTAAAAAAACATGCTTAAATAGGATGGCATAGAGCCAGGGTGGGCGGGCCCACCCACGATTTCCGCTACCGGTTCGGGCGAACCGGTCCAAACTGGTTGAATACCATCTCTGAGTTAATATAAGTTTCTTCAAAGCAAAACCTTGTTAAAGAAACAAAGGTTCCTGAACTGAGTTGTACTGTACTTTTAAGCTCTGTCTCTAAGATTTCTGTTTAAAAAATTCTTAGTCCATGCTTTCTCTGCTGATTAGGACTACTTTCCTTAGATTTAACTCAAAACACTTTCTTTTATTTCAAGAAAGCTTGTGGTATTTGTACATGCAAATTAAAAAAAAAAAAGAATAGACGTTCCTTTCCTTTCCTTTCCTTTCCTTTCCTTTCCTTTCCTTTCCTTTCCTTTCCTTTCCTTTCCTTTCCTCTTTCCTTTCCTTTCCTTTCCTTTCCTTTCCTTCCCTTCCCTTCCCTTCCCTTTCCCTTCCTCTTTCCTTTCCTTTCCCTTCCTTTCCCTTCCCTTCCCCTCCCTTCCCTTCTCTTCCCTTTTTTCTTTCTTTCCTTTCCTCTTTCCTTTCCTTTCCCTTTTCTCTTTCCTTTCCCTTCCCTTTCCCTTCCCCTTCCCTTTCCCTTTCCCTTTCCCTTCCCTTCCCTTCCCTTCCCTTTTCCTTTCCCTTCCCTTCCCTTCCCTTCCCTTCCCTTCCCTTCCCTTCCCTTTCCTTTCCTTTCCTTTCCTTTCCTTTCTTTTCCTCTTTTATTTCCTTTCCTCTTTCCTTTTCTCTCCTCTTTCCTTTCCTTCCCTTCCCCCCATATCTTTATTTGACAATGAGGAGCAATTACAGCCTAGTGAGAACTTTAGTATTCTTTTGTTCTAGAGAGTTTGCTGGAAGAAAATATAAAATAATGAAGATGGTTTTAATATCCCCGTTTCAACTTCACTGCCTACAAAGTGAACTGTTTACAAAATGTGTGGTGGAAGCCAAAATAATTCAATCCTTGGCTGTATAAACAGAGGCATCAAATCAAAATCACGCCAAGTATTAGTATCACTTTATAAAACCTTAGTTAAGACCACACCTGGAATACTGCAACCAATTTTGGTCACCGCATTACAAAAGAGATGCTGAGACTTTGGAAAAAGGGCAAAGAAGAACAAAGATGATTAAAGGCCTGGAGACTAAAATAAATGAAATACGGTTGCAGGATTTGGGTATGGCTAATCTAGAGAAAAGAAGGATTACTATTTTAGGAGCTGCCACAAAGAAGAGGCTGTGTGTGTGTCAAGTTATTTTCCAAAGCACCAGAAGGTAGGACAAGAAACAACGGATGGAAACTAATCAAGGACAGAAGCAACCTGGAATTAAGGAGAAACTTCCTAACAGTGAGGACAATCAACCAGTGGAACAGGTTGTCTTCAGACATTGTAGGTGCTTCATCACTGGAGGATTTTAAGAAGACACTGGACAGCAACTTGTCTGAAATGATATAGGTCTCCTGCTTGAGCAGGGGGTTGGACTAGAAGACCTCCAAGGTTCCCTCCAGCTTTATTCTGATCGAAAGTGATCTGCCATAAGGCAGGAAATGAAACTTTATGATCATCTTTCTAAATATCCAAACTGCCATACAAATATGATGGGAAAATCTGAATCTAAAGAATCTCCTAGGGCAGGGGTGGGCAACTGTGGCCCTTTTACAACCTGTGGACTTCAACTCCCAGAATTCCTGAGCCAGCTTGGCTGTTGTTGTTGTTGTTGTTGTTGTTGTTGTTGTTGTTGTTGTTATTATTATTATTATTATTATTATTGCTGTAATTTACTAGAACAATTTACTTAGAAAAAGGAATTCAGGATCTTATGTCCTTGAATCCATGGAGAAAATTATGATTATGATTGCCCTCAATCTTTCCCAGCATTAGGCTGTTCTCCAGTGAGTCCTTCCTTCTCATTAGGTGACCAAAGTATTTTGAGTTTCATCTTCAGGAACTGGCCTTCTAAAGAGCAGTCAGGGTTGATCTTTTCTAGGACAGACCGGTTTGATCACCTTGCAGTCCAAGGGACTCGCAGGAGTCTTTTTCAGCACCAGAATTCAAAGGCCTCAATTCTTTGATGCTCAGCCTCCCACCGACCAGTCCGCTCCCACAGAGAGGGTCTCCTCAGGGTGCCATCAGCCAAGTTATCTCGGCTGGCGACACCCAGGGGGAGGGCCTTCTCTGTGGGAGCCCCAGCCCTGCGGAATGAACTGCCCCCAGAAATACGTAAGATCTCCGACCTCCGGGTATTTCGTTGCGCATTGAAGACCCTGTTGTTCCGCCAGGCTGGGCTATCAACATAATAATTTTAATTGGGGTATTTTAAATTTTTGGGGTTTTAATCTGGCCAAATTTATTTCATTATTTTAATTTTTAATCATTGTTGTGTCTTGTGTTTTTAAATTGGCTGTACACCGCCCTGAGTCCTTCGGGAGAAGGGCGGTATAGAAATTTATTTATTTATTTATTTATTTATTTATTTATTTATTTATTTATTTATTTATTTATTTATTTATTTATTTATTGATGGTCCAGCTTTCACAGCCACACATTACAACTGGGAAAACCATAGCCTTGACTATGCGTGCACTTTTGCTGGCAGGGTGATGTCTCTGCTTTTTAGTATGCTGTCTAACTTTGCCATAGCTTTCCTCCCCAGGAGCAAGTGTCTTTTAATTTCTTAGCATCTTAGCCCCTGAGCCACTGTGTCCCTTTATTCTTTATTTATTCTTTATTCTTGGATTACCTAGTGTTTAATATGAAGTTATGGTGTGATTACTTTGATTTTGACCTTGCAACTTGGTAGGAACCCAAATTCTGTGCTTTGCAAATTGTGATTTGTGCCTTAGTTTGTATGCAATTAATATGAGTTTCTTCAAAACATAATCTAGTTAAGGAAACAAAAGTGCTTGAACTTAGATGAACCATACTTTTCAGTTCTGGCTCTAACATTTTTGTGTTATACTTAGGCCATGTTTTCTCTTAGTTACTTAGAACCGGTTTCTTTAACCTTTATCCAAATTACAGACTTTTAGCTAATATAATGTAAAGTCCACTATAGTACTCATAATATATTTTAAACAGAAAAAGCTTCATCCTGATTGTCCTTATAGGTTTTCATCATTTCAAAATTACCTTTATAAGATTTCCAAAGAAAGTTTATGGGAAAAAAGAGCAAATGGGGGAGGAGAGGAGAGGAGAGGAGAGGAGAGGAGAGGAGAGGAGAGGAAAGGAAAGGAAAGGAAAGGAAAGGAAAGGAAAGGAAAGGAAAGGAAAGGAAAGGAAAGGAAAGGAACACAGAGAGGAGAGGAGAGGAGAGGAGAGGAGAGGAACACAGGAGAGGAGAGGAGAGGAGAGGAAAAGAAAAGAAAAGAAAAAAAAAGAAAACGAAGGAAGACAGAGAGGAGAGGAGAGGAGAGGAGAGACTGTCTTTATATTTCTTAGCACTGAAATATTATATGAAAATCAAAGATGTAAGGAGTGTGTAAAGCAAACTATGAGATCTCTGCAATGAGAAACTCTTTTATCTCAACCAATATTTAAATTGAGGCTCATTTCCTCTTTAAATGAGACTTTTCAGGCTACACTCATCAACACAAAGTTTGTGCACTTTCCTAAATCATTTCCCATCAATTATCTTCCCTTTATTAGAAGAAGCAAAAATGATTCCGGAGCTAATCCTGTTCTTTATATCAGTCCTTGGAGGTCATTATTTCTGATTATTACACAGAATTTTCTTCTTCTTCTTCTTCTTCTTCTTCTTCTTCTTCTTCTTCTTCTTCTTCTTCTTCTTCTTCTTCTTCTTCTTCTTCTTCTTCTTCTTCTTCTTCTTCTTCTTCTTTCTATCTTAATTCTGAAATACAGGAGAGATCGCTGAAATGCCTTTCATTTTAGGTGTCCGATCTGAGGACCAATTGATGGAGTCTGGAGGGGATGTGAGAAGACCTGAGGAGTCCCTCCGTCTCTCCTGCCAAGGCTCTGGATTCACCTTCAGCAGCTATGACATGCAGTGAGTGAGACAGGCTCCAGGGAAAGGCCTGGAATGGATTGCAGGTATCTATACTGATTCCAGTGGAAAGTTCTACTCGGACAAAGTGAAGGGACACTTCACCATCTCCAGGGACAATGCCAAAAGCCAGCTGTATCTGCAAATGAACAGTCTCAAACCAGGGGACACGGCAGTCTATTATTGTACAAGGAACCCAATGCCACACAATGAGAGGAAATGAATCTGAAGCTAAACAAAAACTTTCTTCAGATTTTCTTCTTTAATCTGGGAAGATTTGCTTCAGACTAATTTACATCGTCCAACAGAAACAACTTCGGGACTTTTTTTTTTTTTCATGGATATAAATAAAGCTGAGAACTTTTACAAGAAAAGAGATGTGAGAAAAAAAATAAACAGAGAAAAAAAAACTAAAGTTATAATTGAAAACCTCACACAAAAAGAAAATGAAAAACTGGCGAAAAGAGAGAGAGAGAGAGAGAGAGAGAGAGAGAGAGAGAGAGAGAGAGAGAGAGAGAGATCTGATAGAATCTCCTGAGAAGAAAAAAAGATTCTATTCTACGAAGATCAATTCAACTCAAACCTTTATTGTCAGACTACAACATGTGTACAATGAGATTGGCTGAGCCTCACTCCGTGCACCAACACAACTCACAGTGAAAGACAGAAAATCCCTATCCCAGTGAATGCTGCTAACAAACACCCAATCCCAGTGGTGAAATGTAAAATTTGTTACTACCGGTTCTGTGGGCGTGGCTTGGTGGTGGGTAATATGACTGAGTGGGCGTGGCCAACTTTGTTTTTTTTTTTTTACTTTTAAAACCATCCGCTGAAGAGGTTGTAAAAAAAATGCTTTTAAAAGCCTCTGATGATCCCAGCTGACTTGCCTGATCAGCAGAGGCTTTTTCTTTTTTTAAAATAAGCCTCTGACGATCTCAGCTGAGCCGCTCAATCATCAGAGGCTTTTTTTTTTTACTTTTAAAAACATTTTTTTTTTCAGCCAAAGAGGTTGTAGAAAAAATGCTTTTAAATTTTTTTTAAAAAAAGCCTCTGATGATTGTGTGGCTCAGCTGGGCAATGGGGGGGGGCAGGGATTTTTGCTACCGGTTCTCCGAACCACCCGCCTCCATCACTACCGGATCAGGCGATCCGGTCCAAACCGGCAGCATTTCACCCCTGCCCAATCCTATTGCAACATGTGAACTTATTGCACATCACACCAGCCCAGTGGTGGGTTTCAAATTTTTTGACCACCGGTTCTGTGGGAGTGGCATGGATTGGTGAACGTGGCTTGGTGGGCGTGGCAGGGGAAGCATACTATAAAATCTCCATTCCCTCTCCAATCCAGGGGAAGGTTACTGCAAAATCCCCATTTCCTCCCAATCAGCTGGGACTCGGGAGGCAGAGAATAGATGGGGGCAGGGCCAGTCAGAATTTTTACTACCGGTTTTTTTTTTTTTTTTTTAATTTGATTTATATGCCGCCCTTCTCCGGAGACTCAGGGCGGCTTACAGTGCGTTAAGCAATAGCCTTCATACTTTTGTATATTTATACAAAGTCAGCTTATTGCCCCCACAAACTGGGTCCTCATTTAACCTACCTTAGAAAGGATGGAAGGCTGAGTCAACCTTGAGCCTTGGAGAGATTCGAACCAGCAGTAAATTGCAGGCAGCTGTGTTAATAACAGGGTGCTTTAAACCACTGTAGTACCAAGGCTCTCTTCTCCGAACTACTCAAAATTTCTGCTACCGGTTCTCCAGAACTGGTCAGAACCTGCTGAAACCCACCTCTGCACCAGCTCCACAAGTCAATCATATTATGTTGTTGTAGTTACTTTTCATTCAGGATTCTGACAGTCCACGGATAAAAATTGTTTTTCAGCCTGTTTGTGAGGCTGCCTATGCTTCTATATCTCCTTCCTGATGGTAGGAGAGTAAAGAAGTGATGACCAGGGTGAGAGTCGTCCCTCAGGATTTTCCTCACTCTTCTAAGGCAGCGAGCCCTAGCGATGTCGTCTAGTAGTATCAACTAGATGTTTTGTGCTGTACTCACCACCCTCTGTAATGTTTTTCTATCCACAGTTGTCAAACCAGCATGCCACACCAAAGCATACCTCCAGATAAGCTGGAGGGAGTGACCTAAATTTAATGTTTTAATTAATTAGGATGGACTTTTAAAAGTTTAATATACAGTATATACTGATAGAAGGAGCGGTGCGGTGGCCTCGAGGTGGAGCTCTTACCTCACAATCAGGAGGCTGTGAGTTCAATCCTAGGTAGAGGTGGATATTTCTCTCTCTGAGCACAATGAGAATGTATCTGCTGAACAAACCTCCGCACTGGCGACAAGAAGGGCATCCGGCCAGTAAACACTCTGCTAGCTCCATTCAGTTGCTCAGACTTCACCCCGCAAGGGTGATTATGGGGTCGTTAAAAGATGATGATGATATGTATGTACTGATAGAAAGCTTTAAGTTAGTTTTGTATGTATAGAATGAGTATGTATGTAAACGCATGCCCTTGGGTTCTTTAAGTAATGTTGAATAATAATCCAATGTTGGTAAAATATCATTGACTAGATTTGAAAACATGAGAATGAATGGTATATTATCCCCCACACAGCAAAGAGAAGTCAGAAATGGTTAAACTGATTCTTTTATCCAAAGAAGAGAATATATTTAATTTTGTCTCTATTTTGAAATGAAATAAAATGGGGGAAAAAATTGAAATTTTGATTCTGTTTTTGTAAACTAAGGCTTATTGTTATATCTATATCTATATCTATATCTATATTTGTTTTCTCAGGTTTTCGCGGGTGTTTGTATGTAGGTCTTTGGTTATTCGGGTCTTCTCCCACGTAAAATTGGAAGTGTCTTGGCGACGTTTCGACGAAGTCTCATTCGTCATCTTCAGGCTGGTGTTCTCGGCTTCGTGCTTCCAGGAGCAAATGTGTAAAAGCCAAAAAGTTGTGGTTGTAATGTTGTTACCTTCTACTGCACTAAAAAGAGTCAGAAGTCGGTGCCCTTTTCTTTTCTCTTGTTACACGGTACCCAGTATAGTGGATTCTTCTTACCTTCGCTACTGGTTCAGAATTGGGAGCGCGTATGTGTGTGCGCTCGCTTCACTCGTGCATGGCACTTCTGAGCATGCACAGAGCGTCCATGATGACATCTGGGTGGGCGGGACAGATCCTCCCGCTGCTGCCACCACTGACTATACCCCTTCTTTTTTCTTCCTCCTTTTCTTATTTTTTCATGCTTTTTTTCTTGGTATTTTATACTTTGATAAACCAATAAAAAGTGACCCCCAAAAAAACCCACATCCTTTTTTCAGAGCAGCTCTTTAACTTGATTCAGTCCCCATTGCTGAATTAGCCAATCAGGAATGAAATAATGTCAATAGTAAGAGTAATACTAGTACTAATAAGAATGCCACCAATTAATCAAGGAGAGAAGCAACTTAGAACTAAGGAGAAATTTCCTGACAATTAGAACAATTAATAAGTGGAACAACTTGCCTCCAGAAGTTGTGAATGCTCCAACACTGGAAGTTTTTAAGAAGATGTTGGATAACCATTTGTCTGAAGTGGTGTAGGGTTTCCTGCCTGGGCAGGGGGTTGGACTAGAAGACCTCCAAGGTCCCTTCCAACTCTGTTATTCTATTCTATTCTATTCTATTCTATTCTATTCTATTCTATTCTATTCTATTCTATTCTATTCTATTCTATTTATATTTATTCAGCCCAATTGTGGGCTGAATAAATAATACATAAATTATAAATCACTTTGCATTCGCCGAAGAATTCCATTTGCTCTATAGTTGGAACGTGGAAAAATAATTCCAAACTCAGATAGGTTGTGCTTTTTATGTTCTATCTCCAACATGTGTCTTTCAAAAATATTTTTGTGTGACTTGATTATATGGGACACTTTTGAAAAAAGTGAAATTTGGCAAACTCTTTTTTAATTACTTTATTGTACACCTGTCCTCCTCTCTAAAAATTTGAAAAGAAATGAAAAAAGAGAAGGGAAGGAAAAAGTAAAGGGAAGGGAAGGGAAGGGGAGAGAAGTAAAGGAAAAAGGGAAGGGAAGGAAGAAAGGAAAGGAAAAGAAAGGAAAGGAAAGGAAAAGAAAGGAAAGGAAGGGAAGGGAAGGGAAGAGAAGAGAAGGGAAGGAAGGGAAGGGAAGGGAAGGGAAGGGAAGGGAAGGGAAGGACCCATTGTTCAAGTTTGTCAATATTTTTTTGGATTCTGAGTTTGTCTTCTGGGGTTGTTGGCTATTTCTGCCAGCTTAGTGTCATCTGCAAATTTGATGAGTTCCCCTTCTATTCCCTCATCTCAGTCATTTATGAAGATATTGAAGAATACAGGGCCTAAAACAGAGCCTTGTGGTACCCCACTGCTTACTTCTTACCATGTGGATATAGTACCAAGACTACACGTTGAGTTTGGTTTGTCAGCAAGCTATAAATCTATTTGGTGGTGATGTTGTCTATTCCTCATTTTTCTATCTTGCCAAGAAGAAGGTTGTGGTCTAAGGGAAATAGTCTGGCTTTCCTGGACTGTGAAGTACACAATGAGGAGACTTTTTTTAATACCTAGTAATATGTAAATCAAAGCACAATTTCCCCTTTTAAGGAGGCAGTTGGTTTCCCTTTTCAGGCTATACCCACCAACACAAAGTTTGTGCGCTTCCCAAAATCCTTTGCCATCAATTCTCCTCCCAACTTTACAAGGAGCAAAAAATGATCCTGTGGCTCAACTTGCTATCCTTACTTGCAGCCCTAAAAGGTCATTGTTTCCTCCCTATCGAGTTTTTTTTTTCTCCAATTTTAATTCTTGTACACAAAGAGTTCACTCAAATTCCTTTCATTTTAGGTCTCCGATCTGAGATCCAGTTGGTGGAGTCTGGAGGAGATGTGAGAAGGCCTGAAGATTCCCTCCATCTTTCCTGTCAAACCTCTGGATTCACCTTCAGGAACTATCACATGACCTGGGTGAGACAGGCTCCTGGGAAAATACTACAGTATGTTGCTCACATCTACAGTGATGCCAGTGGAAAGTTCTACTCAGACAAAGTGAAGGGACGCTTCACCGTCTCCAGGGACAATGCCAAAAGCCAGCTGTACCTGCAAATGAACAGCCTCAAAGAAGAGGACACAGCTGTCTATTACTGTGCAAGAGACATACACAGTGAGAGGAAGCAAGGCGAAAACTGCCCATTTCACAAAGCAGCTCTGCAAATTCATTTGAAACCTTCTTAGAACATGGCACATGCCTCCTCTGGTTATCTTGCGTTCCAGCCAGAGGTGGGTTTCAGCAGTTTCTGACCAGTTCTGGAGAACCGGTAGTGGACATTTTGAGTAGTTCAGAGAACCGGTAGTAAAAATTCTGACTGGCCCCGCCCTCATCTATTCTCTGCCTCCCAAGTCCCAGCTGATCTGGAGAAAATGAGGATTTTGCAATAACCTTCCCCTGAAGTGTGGAGGGAATGAAGATTTTACAGTATCCTTCCCCTGCCATGCCCACCAATGGCTACCAGTACCCATAGAACTGGTAGTAAAAAAATTTGAATCCCACCACTGGTTCCAGAGGCCACTAATCTCACACTGATCTCACACTGATGTAAGGGTGGAGGAGGGCATGGAGATAAAACCACTGTGTCCAAATAATATCTTATTTCCAAGGCAGAGCTTTTCCACCTGGTATGCTTAAAAATCCACCAAAAATACCTCAAGACAATATCACTTCTCAAGAGACCACCATGTGATCCATAAATCTATATCTGAGTTCAAAACAGATTCAGGTAGCCCTCGACCTAATCCAATTCTTCATTTTCTTCCACCTAATGGTGGTGCAGTGGTTACAGTGCAGTACTGCAAGCTACTTCTGCCGACTGCTGGCTGCCTGCCATTTGGCAGTTCAACTCTCATCAGGCTCAAGATTGACTCAGCCTTCCATCCAGGGGTGAAATCTACTTACCTTCCCTACGGGTTCAGAAGTGCATGCACAGAGGGTAAAAAATAGGTTACTTCCTGGTTAAAACCAGGAAGTAACGATGACCAGGCAGATGGGCGGAGCCTCATGCTGCCTTTGTTACCGGTTCTCTGAACCACCCACCGCCATCGCTACCAGTTCGGCCAAAGTGGTCTGAACCGGTAGCATTTCACCCCTGCTTCCATCCTTCCAAAGTCAGTAAAATGAGGACCCAGATTATTGGGGGCAATATGCTGACTCTGTAAACTGCTTAGAGAGGACTGTAAAAACACTGTAAAGCGGTATATAAGTCTAAGTGCTATTGCTAATAGACAGAACCTTGCCAGACTAAAGCTATATCATTGTAAGGTTCTGATTTTACTACTTGGAGAAAGGGAAGGGATGTCTCACCATTTCACCATCTCACCATCTCCCAAAAGCCTACTCTATGAGCAAATGAAGAACTTGAAACCAGAGGACCTTATTATTTAGCTTTAAAAAAACAAAACAAAACACTAAACATTAAAGTCTATGCAAAGAAATCTATAACCAAACACCCTTTGGGGTCCTTTTATCCCGAGTGATATGTAAATTGAGGGACAATTTCCTCTTTAAAGGAGCCACATGATATCTGTTTATAGGTTATATCCACCCACAAAAAGCTTGTGCACTTTCCCAGATCCATTCCTATTAATTCGCTCCATTCGCTAGAGGGAGCAAAAATGTTCCTGTGGCTAAATTTGGTGCCCTTTCTAGCTGTCCTCAGAGGTATTTCTTTCCTACCTATTCGGTTTATTTTCCTTTTACTTCTTGTATACAAGAGTTCACTGGAATTCCTTTTATTTTAGGTGTCAAGTCTGAGGTCCACTTAGTGGAGTCCGGAGGGGACATAAGAAGACCTGGAGAGTCCCTTCGCCTCTCCTGCCAAGCCAGTGGATTCACCTTCAGCAGCTACTACATGGCCTGGGAGAGACAGGCTCCAGGGAAAGGCCTGGAAATGGTTGCAGATATTGGTAGATCCTCATCTCCAACTCGCTACTCAGACAAAGTCAAAGGACGCTTCACCATCTCCAGGGATGATTCCCGCAGCCAGCTGTATCTGCAAATGAACAACTTGAAACCAGAGGACACAGCTGTCTATTACTGTACGAGAGAATCACAGTGAGAGGAAGTGAATCTGAAACCCGCCAAGAACTTTCTCTGCCTCTGAACAGCTTGTTTCAGTCATAGAAGTTGGAATTTGCATATGAGAACAAAGAAGGAGCTTTTAAATCTGTATTATATAGTAAGTGGGATGCTGGAATACATTCACTGAGCTGATCTTGGAAGAAGCCATGTGTAATCTTCTCTGTAGCTGCTGAGGGAGAAGAAGGAATTTTCATGGCTGTGGAATAAAATGTGAAGTTTAAACAAGAGTGTTTATTTCCTTCAGGGGGAGAAATGTGGATTCATTTCTTACATTTCTTAAATATATATACATAACATAGCATAGCATAGCATAGCATAGCATAGCATAGCATAGCATAGCATAGCATAGCATAGCATAGCATAACATAACATAACATAACATAACATAACATAACATAACATAACATAACATAACATATATGTATTTATGTAAAGGTTCCCCTCGCACATATGTGCTAGTTATTCCTGACTCTAGGGGGCGGTGCTCATCTCCATTTCAAAGCTGAAGAACCGGTGCTGTCCGAAGACGTCTCCGTGGTCATGTGGCCGGCATTGCTAAACACCAAAGGCACAAGGAACGCTGTTACCTTCCCACCAAAGGTGGTCCCTATTTTTCTACTTGCATTTTTTACATGCTTTTGAACTGCTTTTGGCAGAAGCTGGGACAAGTAATGGGAGCTCACCCATTATATATTGTCATATATAACAATAAAAAATAAAAATAAAAAACAAAAATACAATATCTGTATAAACAGTGTGCTGTCAGAGTACAATTGACATTGAGATATAGTATTGGTAATAGTACGAATAATATTCTTAACATCAATAATGATCACATAATAATAGTAATATTTCATTCCGTACATTTCTTAACATGATATGCACCTCAGTAACTTTGATAAATTTAAGTCCCTCAACTTTTAGAAATTAAAAGAAAATTAACAGGGAGAAAAAAGAAGAATGAAATAAATCCTATTGTCTTATCTTGTAGATCTGTAGATTTTGCTCGGTGACTATAGTCTCCAGACTATAGAAAGGAAAATCGGCTCCATGCATTCCACATTGCAAAGCAAAGAATTTAATTTAATCAAATGCAACCTTGCTCATTGTAGTAATAATCAACATGTCCCTCTGCATACAGAGGAGGAATTATTCTTTTGTATCTGTACTAAGTGATAGTGGGTAATTGTTTGTTTGTTCGTTTGTTTTTAAATTTGATTTATATGCCGCCCTTCTCCGGAGACTCAGGGTGGCTTACAATGCGTTAAGCAATAGCCTTCATACTTTTGTATATTTTATACAAAGTCAGCTTATTGCCCCCACAAACTGGGTCCTCATTTAACCTACCTTAGAAAGGATGGAAGGCTGAGTCAACCTTGAGCCTGGTAAGATTCGAACCTGCAGTAATTGCAGGCAGCTGTGTTAATAACAGGGTGCTTTAAACCACTGTACTACCAAAGCTCCTCTCCTTTTCACTTTTATATTTCTGTTGCATTCTAACTTAGGGAATACAAAGTGATACATTTCCCTTTCTCTGTCCACATTCATAATAGCAATAGCACTTAGACTTATATACCACTTTACAGTACTTTACAACCCTCTCTAAACAGTTTACACAGTCAGCCTATTGCCCCCAACAACCTGGGTCCTCGTTTTACTGACCTAGGAAGGATAGAAAGCTGAGTCAACCTTGAGCCTAGTGAGATTCGAACTGCCAAATTGCAGGCAGCCTGCAGTCAGCAGAAGTATCCTGCAATATTGCATTCTAACCACTGCGCCACCACGAATCATAATGTTGGCTATACAGCGATTTCTTGAATTTGACTATGGACATCCAGCCAATTGTATTCTGTAAACCATTCTTAATTGCTTAATCTATATCACACGAAACTGGCTTTATTACCAGATGATAGTTTAATAAAAAGCATTCACACATAGACAAAAATACTTTTTAAAATCTGTATAAAATCATTTTTTTAAAAAACAATAATAATAAGCCATCCTTTCTTTCTCTAATGTAGATATTAAATCATTTTTGATGGACGAATGTCTATTTGTGTTTCAAGATTAGAAAATGAACAAATGCAATTCCTTCCTTCCTCTGTTCTAAATCAGATTATCATATGTTTAACTAGTAAGAATATTAATTTGATGGGTTGTAGGATTTGTCCATCATCACAAACATGTTTGTGGATTATATGTTTATAGAAGTGTCTCTTGGAGATCCTTCATTTGTACTCAGCTTCTCTTCTCAGCTCCCTCTCTCCCTCATCATTTAGCATTGTGACACTCAATCATATTCACCATAAAGGAAGATATTTTTGGAATCTGCAGAAATGTAACCTCATTTCTAAGGCTGATTATATCTAATTAGAGGGCTGGAGGCTAAAACATATGAAGAACAATTACAGGAATTGGATATATCTAGTCTAATGGAAAGAAGGACTAAGGGTGATATGATAGCAGTGTTTCAAAATTTGAGGGACTGCTACAGAGACGGGGGGGGGGGTCAAACCATTTTCCAAAGCATCAAAAGACAAGATAAGAAACAATGGATGGAAACTAACCAAGGAGAGAACTTATAACTAAGGAGAAATTTCCTAACAGTGAGAGCAATCAACCAATGGAATAGCTTGCCTTCAGAAGTTGTGGATGTGCCATCACTGGATGCTATAAAAAAGAGACTAGACAACCGTTTGTCTGACATTGTATAGGGTCTCCTGTTCAAGCAGGGGGTTGGACTAGAAGACTTCCATGGTCCCTTCCAACTCTATTATTCTGTGTTTCTATGGTCTGTTATTTGCGTAAAAGTTCCTTCAATGGATCTCAAAGGAATTTAGCTTTTTGAAAGACAAAAAACCTGAATGGGAAGCCGTGTCTGATTTTTTACAGATTACAGATTTGGAAGGGACCTTGACCTACAAGATGACCTTATAGGTCATCTAGTCCAACCTCCCACCCAAGCAGGAGACCCTACACCATTTCTGACAGATGGCAGTCCAGTCTCTTTTTGAAAGCTTCCAATGATGAAGCTCCCACAACTTCCGAAGGTAACTTCTGTTCCATTGGTTGATTGTTGTCACTGTCAGAAAATTTATCCTTATTTCCAGGTTGAATCTTTCCTTGTTCAGTTTCCATCCATTATTCCTTGTCTGGCCTTCAGGTGCTTTGGAAAACAGCTTGATCCCCTCCTCTCTATGGCACCCCTCAAATATTGGAACACTGCTATCATGTCTCCCCTGGTCCTTCTCTTCACTAGACTTAGCCATGCCCAGTTCCTGCAGCCGTTCATCGTATGTTTTAGCCTCCAGTCCCCAAATCATCTTGGTTGCTCTTCTATATCTTTTACAATAGATAACATAGAGCAAATATTTTGGATAAGACAAAGGGAATTATTTATCGTTCTCTTTGAACTGAGAGAATATTCATAATATGACTTGGATTCAACTTTGTAATTGGGTGGACCCAAATATTGTGGATGACAAATCATTTTTCAAGGCTTAGTGGCCATTCAGCATATGTTGGTTGCTATCCAATAAGGTATACAGTAGCTCAGTGGTTAAAACGCTGAGCTTGTCGATTGAAAGGTCAGAGGTTCAGTGTTCAAATCCCTAGTGCCATAACAGTGTGAGTTCCCATTACTTGTCCCAGCTTCTGCCAACCTAGCAGTTCGAAAGCACGTAAAAAATGCAAGTAGAAAAATAGGGACCACTTTTGGTGGGAAAGTAACAGTGTTCCGTGTGCCTTTGGCATTTAGTCATGCTGGCCACATGACCACGGAGACATCTTTGGACAGCGCTGGCTTTTCGGCTTTGAAACGGATATGAGCACCGCCCCCTAGAGTCAGGAACGACTAGCACATAGGTGCGAGGGGAACCTTTACTTTATCCAATAATGAAATGTGGGTGTGGCTTGGTGGGGGGGGTAATGTGACTGGGTGGGCGTGGCCAACTTTTTTTTTTTTTACCTTTAAAAGCATTTTTTCCTACAACCTTAAGAGGTTGCAGAAAAAAATGCTTTTAAAAGTCACTGACGATCAGGCAACTCAGCTGAGATCGTCAGAGGCTTTTAAAGGCACTTTTTTCATACAACCTCTTCAGCTGAAGAGGTTGCAGAAAAAAATGCTTTTAAAAGCCTCGGACGATACCAGCTGAGCCGCGCAATCACCAGAGGCTTTTTTTTTTTTTTACTATTAAAAGCATTTTTTGGCTGAAGAGGTTGTAAAAAAAGTGCTTTTAAGAATAATTTTAAAAAGCCTCTGATGATCGCACAGCTCAACTGGGCATGGGGGTGGGGCAGGGATTTTTGCTACCGGTTCTCCAAACCACCCGCCACCATCGCTACCAGATCGGACGATCCGGTCCGAACCAGGAGCATTTCACCCCTGGCAATAACCTACCTATATTTTTTTGTTTTAAGCCCAGCTGATAGGCGCGATCGTAATGTGCATGTGCGGAAGTGTGAGTTTGGCGCACATGCGAGCGAAGTGCATGCACAGCGCACGCACAGCAAATCGGTTGTTACAACTGGTGAATCCCACCACTGCTTACAACATTGTTGAATGAGAAGCATTCAAACACTGCTCTGTATTTAAGTCTTTGGGGTTTCTTCAAAACAGCCTATTAAAGTGGGGGAAAAAATATAAAATCTTTCCTGATCCGTTCATGTTCTATTTCTAATGTGTCTTTCTCAAAAATTCTTACTGCATGTTCCTCATCAGTTAGCTTGAATCAGTTCTGAGAAGGGGTGAACTTTTCAATAGAACCTGTGCTTCTATGACGTAAAGAAGGCCTTCATTTTCTTCAGAGTGGAAAGTGACTGAAAAATCACCATTGTAGGGAGCGTGCAAGGAAAACTATGAGGCAAATGCACCAAGGAGCTCTTTTATCTCAACTAATATGTAAACCAAGGCACAATTTCCCCTTTAAAGGAGTCAGATGGTTTTACTTTTAAGGCTACACCCAACAACACAAATTT